CTTATCACCAATCAGAGAATTGAGCTGCTTGTTGTGGGCGCGCAGGCGTTCCAGCTCCGACTGTAGCTCGGGCACGCTGAGCAGGCGTGCCTGAGATGTTTTGGTGATCTCCTTCCAGTCGGCATACGACTGTATCTCATATTCCAGCTCCTTGATGCGCGCATTGGCCGTCGCCAGGGTCTGCTGTTGCATTTCGTAGCTCATTTGCAGTTGCTCGTAGTTGGCAGCGGTCGCCTTGTACTCGTCATGGCGCTCACGTATGCGCTCCAGCTCGCTTTGTGTGGCCTCCAGCTCCAGTTCGGCCCGCTCGCTGATTCTTTTGTATTCGCTCAGCTCGTTGTTGATGCAGTGCTGCACCTCGCGTGCATCCTCCTCCAGCTGCGTCTTCTCCTGCTCGGCACGACTGAGCGCCGTCTCGTATTTGAGTTTTTGTTGTGCCATCTCTGCCATGGCGCGATTCGCCTCCTGGCGAGCGTTGTGCTCACGTTTGCGCACCACCTGCAGCTGTTTATCCTGCTCCAAGAGCTTGGCACTGGTGTAGTCGCATTGCTGCTTCAGTGCCGTAGCTTTGCTCTCGGCCAGCGCCAGGGCGCTGCGCTGTTCCTTCGCCTGCTGCGCCAGTTGATCCTGGAGCTGGCTGACTATTGCCTTCGACTCGATCAGCTCGGCGCGTAACTTGCGCGTCTGCCACGGTCCGACGGGATCATTAAATGAGTTGTTCAGCGATGTGTTGCTCGCATTCAGGCTGCCGTTCGGTGAGCCATTGTCCAGGCTGTCTATGCGTCGTTTCTTTGGCACTTTTTTTTTTTCATATAAAGTTTTTAGTTTTCATTTTTTGCCAGCAAATTTATCTTCTTCTTACCTGTCACAGAGTCTTCGGTAAACGACATGGAGAGCCGGTCGAAGCTGAGCTTTTTAGGTGCAGAGTGTGTGATGCTATCATTGAAGCGGGCCATTATATTGTCCAAGCTACTTCGTATTTCCTCCATTTTATGTATTTATTTCAACTTCAATTGTTTTCAAGTTTGCCGTTTGTAAAAAAAATGTTGCTGAAAATATGACCGACTGTGGTGGCAAGTCGATAAATATTCGATAGGCAACAACGAGTAATTGAAAAGCAGTCTAATATAAAGCAAAAGTAAAATAAAATGCCGTATATATTAACAAGTTGGCAGCACTGTTGTTGCAATTGGCGCCAAACTTTAAGCATTCTTTAGCATCCATTCGAATTCTTAAAACCAACTATGGTATATATATATTACCGTGCTTGTGAACAACCATTATGAGTAACTGCATCATTAGTTTCACGTAAAGCCTCTAAGAACGTAACACTTCAATCATTTTAAATAAGCTAGCACAAAAATAAAGTGATAAAATTTGCGCTTATGATTTATTTGGCTTGGGCCTGCTCTCTGTGTGCATGCGTGCATGTGTGTATGTATGTGTGTGTGTGTGAGCGAACGTGTGCGTGCCGCTGCCTCTGCCTCTGTTAGCCCATGAAAAATGAGCGCATTAAATTTTATGATATTGTTTGGGCCTGTCATCAACTTTGGTCCATAGCACACACACACACACATACACTGTACCTCCTTACGCCCAGGCCACCCTCGCTGCCTAAAGCACGAACGACAAACAAGTGGCAAAGTTCAAAGTCAAACAATAACACTTTTCATAAACAAAAAACCCAGCACACACACACACACACACACACATATACACGCACATGCACATGCTTGTATGTATAGCGCTCATATGAATTGGCTACAGGCAATTCTTTTACAGTTACCTGCGCCCAAAATTGACCAACAAATTTTCCATATTGAAACTTGCCAAAGAGAGAAACTTGCGAAAAAGCCAAAACTCGAAATTGACCTGTGCCAAGCGCAGCGCGAGCTGACGACAGAGCAAACAAAAGAGAGTTGAGGCGCGCATTGAACAAATGTTCGTGTCTGCGTTTTGTTCAGGCAATTTTGTGCGCAGTTTATGCGTGCGTAGATATATATATATATATATATATATAAATATACATATATGTGTATGTGTGTGTATGTGTGCTAGTATGGGTGTGCAGTGCGTGGGCTTAACTTTTCGCCCGTTGAGCACTTTATCAAAGCTTAGCACCTGACAATTTGCCATGAAACATGCGGACATTTTTTTTCTTGCCTGCGCTCTCTTAACATACGCACCAGAAATCAACACGCAATTGTGTGTGTGTGTGTGAGAGTGAGTAATGAAAATGCTATCAAGTGCTTTTCATTCTTGGCGTTCGCTTTTGTTTTTTGTCCTTAGGTGCGCGCTTGCTGTCAGCTGTTGGTGTTGTTGCTGCCGGTGTTGTTGTTGTTGTTGTTGCTGTGCCCATTGTGTGTAGCGTACTTCAATGTCACCGCTGCAGCTTAGTGGCCAAGACCATTGCCTTTGAGACGGGCAACTAATTAAATTAAATCCGATTAGCTGCCACCCGGCCCTTGGCTAAATTGTATATCCTTATCGCTGCTCAAGTGCGTTTGATGCTGCCTTCGGCATTGCAAATGGAGTTTCTTAAGAGTTGCGCTTTCATTATGCAACTACTTAACATTTTCTATTTTATTCTCTTATTTAAATCTAGACACATGTTGCGGCTAAGCAGCGCCTCGCCTTGCTTGTCTTTGGAATCAAGCCGTTCATTGAAAGAGCGTTAAGCTTCTCTTGCTGGGCTCATTTTTGAATTGCGCCAATGAGAGCGCAATGCTGCTCTTGCTATGTTAACTTGCGTAAATTTCTCTTAAATCTCATTCTACTGTAACGCTGCATTGTTGATCCAATAAATAGAAATTGATATAAGAGAGCACAAGCCGTCACTTAAGATCCTCAGTCCAAGCATAGGGTATAGCTTATTGGGGCTGTACTCTGCATTATTTTAATCATATTCTTCCTTCTCACTCTTAATATAAATATACATAGTATGTTAATTAGCAGTGCATATGCTCTGCAATCTGTTAATATGCTGCTTAAGCTGCGCTTAAAACCAAAATAGGAGCGCAAGAATTCTCTTTTTATGCAGTTTAACATTTTATTAACATAGACAATTCACTAGTTATTTGAATTAACAGATAACTGAGAGAGCCAGTGTTAATTTCGACGCCTTTACGGTATATTGCAACTGTTTACACTGAAATTAAACTATTTGTATATGTTGCCACATTCTATTTGCTATCGCATTTACCGCATAAATTGCACTTATTAACGCCACATTGCTCCAGTGCCCCTAAAAGATACACACTCACACACACACACACACACACACACACACACACACACACATACGCATTGCCATGCAACAGGCAGGAGCTGTGAGTGTATGTGTGTTGGTTTGTTTGTTTTCGAGGGGAAGGTTCCTGCACGTATTTGCCAGGCGTCGGGTCGTAGAATTTCCGCTGACTCACAATCGCTGTTGGCCACAAATCTGCATAAATTTCCATCGTGACACAGAAACGCAACTTCAACTCGTTGGAATTTTCATGAGCCACACCAAAGTCGCAGCACTCAAAGGCTTCAGCTGTCTGTCCGCTTTAGCTGGCATTCATTCCGCAGTTGCACTTCGGTATAGTCGCAGTTCCCCCAACTAACGGTAAGTGAGAACGTCGGGGTCGGGGCAAACACACAAGCACACACACAAGCACACACACACACGCACACATATTCTTTGCTCTTCTGACAGATGGTCAGAGAGCAGACGTCAGCGTATGATTGATTTCTGTGCTTATGGAACTGCTGGTAGAACGTATAAAGAGCTAGTTGAAAAGTTGGCTTCAACTATCTCGATTTAAGCAGGACACACACACACACACACACGTGCAGAAGTGTGCGAGCATTTCAAATGCACCTGTTAACCATTTGGAAAATTTATGACTTCCTTCTTGGCACTAGGACCCCGGTCCGGCTGCTGCACATCCTCTATCCTTGTCTATCGTAGCCTGCGCTTTGCGTTTTGTTTTTGCTTAACGGTGCATAACGATAAACGAGACCCAGACACAAAGCGGAAGAGCCGCTTAGATGCTCACGTACGGCCACGTTCACAACGTGTTAAGCTGCCAAGTGCAAGGACATGCACATGCTTACAAGCAGGCAATAAATAAAATCAACAATGGCTAATTGCAAGCACAGTCTTTTGCACAAACACACACACACACACACGCACGCACGCATTATGCATAAGGCAAGCTGTAAAGTGCTACATCTACCTACAAGCACGACTTGCGTATGCCCTGTAATCGCTTTTAGCTGAGTCTGTGTTAAGCTTTCATTTGTTTAATTTCAAGTGCTCTCTTTTGAATAACTGTGCCACTGTTGCTCATTTATGCGCATAAAACAACAAACATGCTGTGTCTAATATTCATCAAGCTCATCAATATACCCTTCAATCCAACTCGATAACGGCATTTATTGAAAAAAGCCCGGCTGAGGCTTTCACTTTCAAGCTAGCAGCGGCTAAGCGGCTGCTGCTAAGCCAAAGAGAGCGCCAGTGTGGTGAGTTTGTTGCGTGAGAGAGAGTCGGGCAGCGCTCTCTGGGCACACATTCAAGGCAAGTTAATACGTTGCCGGCCCCGGCAGCAGCTGTGTAAAATCTAATGCATGCCAACAGGCGCGCAAGAGGTGCGAAATTCACCAGCTTAAGAGAGAGAGAGAGAGCGGTAAGCACTTATATCGATATATCGCATAAATCGATGCGTGTTTTGGCGCTTGACTGTTGAACACATTCAACAACTAATTAATGCGAACACACGCAAAGTAAATTATGTTTTTTGCTATTAATTAATGTGAGTGACATGTTAACTTAAATCATGCTACTGGCATGGCATGAGACAGGCAACAAAACGGTTTGAAAATCGAAATCAATTTTTGAAAACGATGTCTATCGTTGTTTGTTTGTTTTTGGCTTGTGTTTATCGATGTTAGGATTTACTTTTCTGCTGTGCGCGCTCTTCCATGAACTTGTAATTGAAATGGCCGCGACGCGACGAAGTGCTTGCAGTGCGTAGGCGGTTGTCGTAGACTGACGTCGTGGCCATAGCACGTGCTACGAGTGCGGCGCGTGCAACGGTGCCACCACCATCACCAACACCAACACCAGCAGCAGCAGTAATAACAACAACAGCAGCAGAGACAAACGGCCGCTGGAGCAGCAGCTGAAACTTAAGCTAGCAGCAGCACAGCAACAACAACAGCAATGAATGAAGCAAAGCGTAAGACACAAAAATAACGGCACTTTAACCGAGAGAGAATAACGGAATAACGGAATATTTAAAAAAGCAACAGCACAAAGTTGATTTTGCATTTCTTAAGAATCAAGCCAAAAGACAATAATAAGACATTAGCAGAAATTGAAGCTTAAACAAAAAGTGAGCGTATTTAAATGTGAGTGTGACAATAAATTAGTTTTAAGCATACAATTTGCACCTGGTTATTTGCACCTGTCGAAGACTATCCCATGAACGTTGACAATAAGCAACAATAAAAAAAAACCAAATTCTAAGAAGGAAAGCAACATCTGTTGTTAATTATCTTATTGATAACAAAGATAGATGTAAATCACATATAAACATTTTACACGAATTGAATCGAATCGAATTGAATTGAATTGAATTGATGTAAAGCCAACAACGTGTCGAAAAGAGGCGAACGTAAATGCCATTTACGCAAATAATACTAAACAAAGAATAAAGCAAAACAGCGCAGCGCCAAAAAGAAGGCAGCAGCCGAAGTCCGCAAAACGCAAACAGGATACTTAAAATATCAAGGCAAATACATACAAAACCACACACACGCACACACACACACACACACACACGCACACGCACACTCAGGCAAGCAAAGCGTGTGTGTGCTTTGTGCGTGTGTCTGTCTGCGGCCCGACAACTAAAAATATATTGTGCGCTTCATATTTTTGGACTCAACTTCAGTTGAGTTGCCCCTTTACAAGCTTGTTGCTGGGCGCCGCTGCTTGCTTTTTGTAAGCAAGGCACGAAATAAATATATATACCAACAACAACAACAACAACAACAATAACTGAGGTGTATTTGGCCCCCGGCGCGACAGGCATAAAGCAAACAGAAACAGCGGCAGCAGCAACAGCAATAGACTCTGCCCGTGTTAGATGCCAAATGCTTCAACTGAACAGAGATTGATGCTGCCAGTCAAAGCACAAACAACAACAACAACAGTCAGAACAAACGACAACCGCCGTGCTCCATTCAAACAGCAATTGAGATATGTAAGTAAGAAAAAAAAAAAATAAATAAAAATAAAAAACACAAGTGAAGAGCAGTAGAAAAACCTATAAAGATATGTGCCTGGCACAACACCTAAATCAACGGAAATTAAATATTGTATAGCATACTTTTTAGGGCCCTTAGGCTTGGGTATATTCGTAGTGGAATAGAATGGAATGAAACATGCCTGTTGAGCAAACTATATAGAAGTCAAACTAGTGACAATTAACTACAAACTCATTTTGTGTAGCATACTTATTCGGGCTGTCATAAAATGCCCCATTTTTTTAAGTTTCCTACAAACCCATTTTCTGTAGCATACTTTTTCGGCATATTAGGGCGTGGGTAACTATATTTGTAGTGGCATAGAATGGAATGAAACATGCCTGTTGAGCAAACTATATAACAGGCAAAATATGTAGCATACTTTTTCGGGCTGTTATAAATTGGGCAATTTATAACAGATAACTACAAACTACATTTCTATAGCATACTTTTTCGGGCTATTTTAAAATGGGACATTTATAACATAGAGCTATGTAAATATATATTTTAAGTGAAATGTAGTGGAATGGAACGTCAGTGTTTTACTTTATTTTTGAATTGCTTCATTTATTAAACAGTTGGAAGGAACCCTATTGCATAGAGGTTTATGCATAGTTTGCGCCGGCGACTCATTATGGCGTTATAAATTCCCAATACATTTGCCATAGTATGCTTTTTGGGGCTCACAAAAAATTAGACAATATCAGCCTAGTTGGCCATAGTTATTTGTAAGTGGAACGTAATGGAATGAAACAGGCATATGTAAAATATATGTAAAAGGGCCAGAAATACAAATGAATTCAAGCGCCAAAGCTTAATGCATATTTTTACAGCATTTAAGTGTGAAATGATGTGTTGGCGCATTATTTGACTTAGGCACGAAGAAAATGCTAAGCTCACACAACGAACACACGCGCACAAATACACACACACACACACACACACAGCCTATACACATGTACACAGGGCCAGAAAAAGACAACACAGAATCTGTAAGCCCTGACAGAGTTGAAGTGGCAAACAAACAGGGCAGATACACACACAGAAGCAGAGCGCAAAATACAAATACAAATAAAAATACATAGATACATAGCATACACACACACACACACGCGCGCACACACAGAGACACACTAGCTGTACGTGTGACTTACAAGAAAAAACACTTATACGCCACGTTGAACGTGAAACGGTCGCAAGTTTTATCAACTTGTGCTGGCTGCTCGGACGCCGCAAACTCAATTTGCCATTTTAGGCTGGCAGGCAAAGGCACAAAAAAACACACGCACACACACATACAGCTACATAATATACCCAGGACGAAAATCGATTGTGTGATGCTGTAGCAAAAACAAAATAACTGCCATAAAGAGCTACCCCCTGAGGCGACAGCAAGCGTATTTTGTAAGCCGATTTCTGCACTTTTTCCTGCCACACACACAGCAAACCCTTTATACGATTCATATGCTTCTTTTTGGTTTTTTTTTGGGGGGCACAAATCTTATCAATGCACTGCTTGCATTTCACATAATTTACATATTTAATTTACGTTTTGTCGCCTCAAATGCAAAATCAATTTAGCAAGTCTGCTCGGCGCCAGACAGTCGCTGCAGGCGCTCCAAATGTCCGAATTTTAGATACAAAGTTCATGAACTCGCCATTAATTCGACGTAGTTTTCGGACTTGATGTCATTTAAATTTTCATAGAAAGACTGACACTTTATTAGATGATAGGAATTCACTTATTCTTAGCTAAACTTAATTTGTTGGGTAGTTATTTAGTTAGTTAGTTAATTTTATATGTTATTCTTAAACACAAAAATAAACATTGTTTGAGTTCCTTTGGCTTTGCTACACTTGAAAACAAAGTGAAATGCCCGAGAGTTGTGTAATTTCTTGGGCAAGAAAATAGTCTATTCGCAATAACCCTTTAATAATTCTTTGTTTAAATGAGAAATCAAATTGTGACTTCTTTAGAGATGCTTAGGCATGCTTTTGAGGATTATATATTCAAAGTAGACATTTTTGTAGTGTGGCACATTTGAATTGCTTTCAGATTGCAAATGATAATTACACGTGGCTCATTAGCAACTGGCTGAAGTGAATCCGTTGCCGGGCAACTGCGTATTTTCGCTGAATTTGTAATTGTTTTTGGCATTTAATTAATTTGCAAAAGCTTTTGATGCGATTTTAATGAAATATAAAACCAGGGGCAACAAAGTAAAACTCTCTGCAGCGGGCGATAAGTTAGAACTAACTAAATGAAAGAAATCTACACACACACACACACTCACACACACACACACACACAGGCATGCACAATAGCTGAATAACAAGACAATTTAATGCCAGTAAATTGCGCACTATGCCACATCAGTTGCAGCAGCAGCAGCAGCAGAGGCAGCAGCAGAGGCAGCAGCAGGAACGGCAGCAACAAATTCCAGTCTGCGGCTGGGTTCCGGAGCTCTAAAGCTGCACAAAACTTGAATGTCCTTGACGCAGCTGCAGCCTTTGGCACGGCCGAGCCGATTTGGCCAACTATTTGCCAGTCCGACTCCCTCTCTCTCTCTCTCTCTCTCTCTCTCCAGCTCTCTCTTTCTCTGTTTCTCTGGCAGCCTGGCTGGCTGCTATCGCAGTTGCCGCAGACATAAGTCGGCCTCAATGCCAGAACGTGCATTGAAATGCGATTTGCGTTTGGCGAAATTGAAATCTAATTAAAATCTGAGGTGCGAATAATGAATGCAATTGCAATGCGCACCCGAAGACAATTTATGGCCCCAACTTGGCACAATATAAATTACGCGCCGGACAGCAAAGTGGGGCCCAGTTCGACTGGGACTCAGTAACTGGGGACTCATACGAAAGCGTTCGAGTACAAAAATCAATTTCCGTTGAAACAGTAGTTGTTACGCTTGAGTAAGGGCCGAGGAGTGGGTGTGGGGGGGGGGGGGGGTGTGGGCGGGTGTGGCATAAAGGGAGCTGCAGCTGAATGAAATTGAAATGTGGCAAGAGGAATACAAGCGCTTAATGGTTAGCTGCATGTCTGGGCGACTAACTGATAAATGTAACCATATGACCACACAAAAGACTCACTGACTCACTAACCGACTAACTGACTGACTGACTGACTAACTGACTGTCAAACTGACTGACTGTCAAACTGGCTGTCAACGGTTCAGCGCACACGCTTCTGCAAAAGTTCGTGCTGGGACAGCATCCTGGCGCTGTTAACTGACGAGCACGCGACTTGCCCAGAGCGACATCTATCAGGACATTTCGACATCCTGCCAGCTCCTATCTACGCACACACACACACAAACAGAGCTGGCTTTCATTGTTCGTTCAGGCATCATAAACCGCTGCCACGTGCGGTCCAAACGAGCGACGGCGATGTCAAAAACAAAGCAGCGAGCTTCAGTTTGTCCATCTGTTACTCAGTCAGTCAGTCTGCCAGTCAGTCAGTCCGTCAGTCTGTCATTGCCGCCTTGACTAATGAAATGCCATCGCTGTCATCAGCATTGCTTCTCCTCCTGCTGCTGCTGCTGCTGCTGCTGATCAAAATGTAAACTTAAAATGACAACAACGCGCACGAAATGATGGAAATGGAAATGATGTCTATGGACTGTTGATTTAAGGATTTCTATCAAAATTAAATAGAAAATGCCAAGCAAGTGCAGAGCACTCGTTGGCAGTGTTCGACTAGCAGATATCCTAAACAGCGAACGTTTCGTAAGTCTTCCCTTTGCCCCACTCCCTGTAAAATGCATTCTGAATTAACTTCTGTGCTAATAGTCCCTACCTTATTTAATTTAAATGGCAGATATATGGCATTCAGGACTTTATGTACTATACGGAATAAGATATGCCGCCTTATGTGCATAATTATACCCATTTCATTAAAAGGATATATATATATATATATATCCTGATTAAAGTAACATTTATTGAAAAGACAAGCTTCTTTTTGGAACATCCTTTAAAAGACTTTTCTCCTAAGTGTTTCTGCTTACATTTCGCTTAAGTTCTCCATTTAGTTTCGTGCGTAAATCATATTAAATAACTTTGATAAGTTTCCGTTTAACAAATAAATGAATTGTAGTTGGCAAATCAATCAGTTAATTTGCATTGGTAGGTTGCGAATCGTAGATCAGAGTCCAAAAGAGTCCTCCAACTCCAATTGATAGTTTGTGGTTTTTTACTAATAATTATATTAATTGTTTACTTACATATCAATTTTTTCCGCCATCATGCATATTCATATTCACATTAATCAAGCTCGTAATTCGGCTGCATGTCAAATTGCAATTGAAGTTCATTTACGATTCCGGGAAGCGAGAATATGCGAAATTCCCAGAAATTGAAGCTGTAAACAAGATGTGTTAATCTTGAGTGCAGCTGTTTGACACCATGCGAAATGTTTCCTGGAAATGTTGGCACCAATTTGTGGCAGCATTTGCGGCACAAACAAGCGTGAAGCGTGTCTGGCTGGCAAGCCTATTTAAGATTATGAACTGGGGGCTTAACAGTTTGATTATGGGCCACATATTGATGGCCTAATCCCAGCACTAGCATTTAGTGGCAATTGTGTATGATTGAAACTTGCTATCAAGGGCTCAAATCGACACACATAGCTAGGACATGACAATGCAAAATCCTTGCGGATTTGAACAACGGCCACTATTTGGCACATTCACATACATAGCACATAAAAGTTGGCCAAATATAAGTTTGGGAAACGGGCTCTGTGTGTGCATATAAGTGTGTACACACTGGCATTCAGCAACGCCCAATTGCCGCCCATTTGTGCGCACAATTTTCTGCATTTCACTCATGTGCAAATCAAACATGACAGCTGAGTGGCAGGCAAACATTGCCCGGCGAGCGAATGCCCGCACCCGCACCCGCACCCGCATCCGCAATCGACCCGAATCAGAGTTGGGACAGACCATTTAACGGT